CTCCTCTTTCGTTAGGATGTTTTATTGGGTTTTATTAGTTTCAGTATTTTTTGTCTTAATTTTCATTATTTCGTATACATTGATCTCATTRTTGACCTTTTTAGCAATCTAAGAAATTCATGTTCAAGTTAGGGGRAAAACTTGAGCGGACGTTAGYGGAGAGGGGACGTATGACCGATACTAAGAACGTCTGCAAAGGAGGCTAGAAGAAACTCWKTGCAAAACAAKATSAAACTCTAGGAAATGAAACGGACRTTTTCCGGCCTTTGTGCTTTTATAGTGGAGGAGGAGGATTGGGAGGGGGAAGGCTGCTTGTGTGGCCTTTGCTCCTACTTAGCTACGGTCCTGAAATCATATTTGGTTCAGCAATTAATTCTTTTGTACAGGATTGTGTAGGTATATATAACATTATTATCGTGTTTGAGAGGTGACAGCTCTTGTGACACTATYGAAAAAGAATTTTAGCAGCGTCATAGCAGTTTTTGTACCTTGCCGGACTTTTTTTAACCATTCTAAAAAGGTGCATTTACCGAAAACAGATTTGTCATCATAAAAATTATTGGTTTTTGAGTGTAGTTTGATACATCATAAACAGCCGAAATTCGGCATCGAATAAGCCTCTACTTTTGATTAAGTTGTGTACTAAACGAATTATTACTGYAACTGAATAATTTATGGACCAAAAGGCACAAAATCCTGTATGTATTAAACGTTTTTCCCTTKGATATCATTTTTATTTGAAATTTCATATGTCAAGGATGTAAAATCCTCGCTTGGCTATGTGTTATGCTGGTTCCTTATTCCCACAATGCRGCTGAAAATAATTGAAACTGTAGACAATTAAATTATGAATGTTATCTATAATCATTTTGCCAAAGGCACGGATAATACACCACAGGTCGCGGTCYCCTTCTAWGTTTATCTCCAATCCCCACGCATTCGTTACCCAATCAAGGTCAGCATCTTTATCGGTATAGTTAAATACCACATATCATACTACTTCAGTTGGTTGTTATTATAAGGGCTATTCACTGGATTTTTTACAAAAAGATATTTACTATATATCGCGTGTAAGCGCAGAATATGTTGATACAGCAATTTTGAATGCTGAACTTTGTTGCATAATGCTTTTTTTGTTTTTATCTTTCATGCTTACTTCCCCGGAGCGTTCAATGAACACGAAGTGCGAGAAAAGATCATTTCCCTGTCAGTAGAAAAAAAAAAACAAAAGCTTGTCAATTATTTTTTTTATGAGTTTCTAATTTTCAAAGTTGTAAAACAAGGTTTTTGTCTGCAGATTACCAAATGCGCAGACAAATTGAAAAATATGCTCATAATTCCGCGGTAATTGCTTGAATGAATTTGAAAAGAGACTTGATAATTATCTGCATGTTTTCATCGACACCTTTTGGTGCTATGGAATCATAATGCATGAAAAACATCATATATATATGATTCAAACGTTACAAAGGGTTTGTACATTATAAAGTACAATTATGACTCCAAAAGTACAATTTTCAGGAGTACTTCATCGATCGTTTGGGACACTGTTAGTGTGGATAAAAAAGCAAATCTAGACAAAACGTTGATAGGTTTTTATAGTATAATTTAATGGCATAGCTTCCAATGCCAACCCTTAACTATGCAATTCCATAATATATATCTGTTAAAATCAGGCTTGAACGCGTGTGTGCGTATTGATGATGCCACCTTCAGGCGTTGCATTTGCGAGGCTGCACTACATAATGATACTATCTCTGCCAATCAAATTTATCTTTAAACTTCCGTTTTTCTGATTATATATGTGGATTGGAAGACCTTTGAATCCATTTTAGGTTATATTATCCGCTTTTCGATGCTATATTTAATGTACGAATGGAAACGACGCTTGAATCGATCAAGGAATTAAATCTGGGCTCAGGGTCAATTCCACTTGATTCCTYTAGCTGTCAAACACAGTCCTGTCCGAATCCTTGTGTAAATGAACCAAAGCCGCATATATGGCTTAAGGTCTCCAGTTAACTTAAGGTTGTATGTGTTTGGAATTAAGAGAATCGGTTCTTCAGTATTAAATCTATTCTATAGAGAGTACKTGGAGGTCGTTTTCAATCGTATCCACTTCATCTTGTAGCAAGTGAACAACCTGCTCAAATTGAGGACTGCATTTTGCTTTACACAAAGAAATATTTTTCTTATCGTCCATGATTGTCGGTAAAGGAACACTTTCCTTCCTCCTCAACCTTGCAGCTTTTCCAACGCTGCCGTTTCTGTACCATTTCAGCGCAAACGAACGCGCTTTTACTATCGAATARATCGAATTCAAATCGTCACTGGGGATCGAAAAAGATCTCGGTGGTTGTTTTTTAATATTGGTTACTGACCTCCTAGTGATATCAACTGAAGGTCGTCCTTTTGAAAGAATATTGTAATTAAGTCTTTGTGTATCCTTAATCGTCCGTTGTGATGGTTGTCCAAAAGAGACATTTCTTGCGCCGTTCGGTACAAGGGATCGCGTTCTCTTCCCTGAWGGTTTTGTTTCTCTTTTATGATGAGGTTCGAACTCTAAAGATTTAGTCAGTCTTAATGGAGTTTTCGTTGYCCTTATACTCCCTGTAGTTTCTATTCTTTTTGCACTGTTTCTACGCTGTAACGGAGTAGATATGTTTGGCAACGTTTGACTTCTTGGTCGCCGTAGAGATTGTTTTTGCTGCGCCATGTCCTTGAGRTCCGCTCTCCCTTCTTGRATCTTAACTGATTCACAGAAAGAACGTAAGCCCRCGTTTGTTTTTGAATCATTTACGGGGATAAAAAGTCGAGAATCATCCGCAGTCTTGATCTGAGTCGGATTGGGGTTAGCTACTGTAAACAAATGGTTGTTTGGCATTATGAGGCTCGCGTTGTGATCAAGGCCTTGATGTCATTGTGATGTGTATTTGCTCTGCTTCAATCAATTTCTTGACGGCGTTCACGGCCACGTTGATTCAGCTTCACGCAGGTGGATGAGATATACTGTTTAGCGTGTGATTGTCGCTCACGGCGTTAGGATCGGTGTTTTGTTATATCATTAGTGTCAAATTGTGCAAATCAYATGAACGGCCTTTGTTTGGCGTGATCCTGTCACGCCTCCTGCTCTTCCATAATGACTCGGTAATGAAACCATATATTAACTACTAGCCGAAAACAACAAATGTCTTAAATACTCAAAGGCGATGTTAATGCTTCTCCAAAAGCGCTTTTTAAGCGGGTTCAATGGGGTGATTTTGGTGACAGACTTGCTCTATAAATTACAATATAGCTGTAATACAATCTTTATATGCAGAGCGCTAATTGAAATAAGTGTAATTGCAATTAATAAGATGGCGATCCATGTTAATGCTTCTCCAAAAGAGGAAGCGCTTTTTAAGCGGGTTCAATGGGGTGATTTTGGTGACAGACTTGCTCTATAAATTACAATATTATACTGTAATACAATCTTTATAGGCAGAGCGCTAATTGAAATAAGTGTAATTGCAATCAATAAGATGGCGATCCATGTTAATGCTTCTCCAAAAGTGCTTTTTAAGCGGGTTCATTTTGGTGACAGACTTGCTCTATAAATATAAATTACAATATAACTGTAATACATCTTTATAAATTACAATATAACTGTAATACATCTTATAGGCAGTGCAAGTTCGAACCCTTGATCCCAACATAAAGTTTTGTAATTATGGATAGGTTTTAATAAAGCGCTTCCCAGCATCCTGTATTTACTTTTTATCCACTAATCACATTTCTTTTCCTTTTGAATTTTTCTAGTTTACATTTCTTTGGTTGTGGTTYTGCGACTTTATTTATGTTTTGTACATTCCGGCTCACTCTATTTCCTACCTTATGTTTTCTCGTAATTCTTTCCCATATCCCGACATTTTTTCTTAATTTCTTGYATCAGAGCTATTTTTGTTGTAATGCATTTTTGATTGGCGAGTTTCCCTTTTGATTTTTATCACTTGTTTGTCTTTTTTTTACTTCCTTATTTGTCTTTTTTTTGTCTATTTTCATTCCCTGCTTATTAGAGCTTGATTGTRGATGTATATGTACATAAAGTCCAGACAGTTCCCAAGGAGACTTCATAATATTTGATATTTCAAATCGCAATTGTTTCAAACATGTCAGTTTACTCTRGTTCTTAAAGTATTTTGCAATCACTCTTAATTTATTTCTAGAATGAAAACGATATTTTCTAGACGTTTGTTTGAATCATGGAAATATGGCCTTTCTTAACATTAAAAGTTGAAACCTTTACATCAATATTTATCATCTCAAGTTTTATATCATCTCAAGTAATTTCCATCACTATTTCTTTATTTCCACAGTTAAAATGATATTTTCTAGACATTTGATATATGTGCTCGTTAGAATCATGAAAATATGGCCTTTCTTGGCATTAAAATTGAAACATTATTAATCAGATATTTATTATCTCACGTTTTTGGGAGTATATTGCCATCGCACTATTTATGTATTTCAATAATGAAAATAATATTTTATTAGACGTTTGATTATATGACTTTGCTTCTCAGAGTCATGAAAATAAGACTTCGTTTAATTTCAACGGGAGTCTTTCTTGGCATTAAAATTTTAGCATTTTTAGCATTTTATTTTAGTTTTTTCATCTTCGTGGCATTAAACAAACATATTGTTGATAGATTATGTAGTACATACTGGTTCGTTAATGTTAATACTTTAAGCGAGGGCCTATCGTTAGGGATTTTGGCATTCTTAGAAAACACTTTTGTTATCTTTTATTTTACTTTTATTTTGATTTCAAAATTATTAAACTTTGTGTGCTTTTAATGAATAAAAAATTAAATCCTTGTTAAATTATTATTACTTATTGAATTATTACTTATTAAATCGAATCCCAAAACTCGAATCCCATGTAAACTCGAATCCCAAAACTCGAATCCCAAAACTCGAATCCTAACTCGAATCCTAACTCTGCTGCTAGTTTGTCTCGATGTGTTCTAATTCAGATCAATTCATTTATTTTACCAACATACAGATAAGCAATCATACAACGAAACGAATGGTGTGCATATATTTTAATAACAATCTTGTTATTCTGTAAACATTCATAACCTGATGTGAATACAACTAACCATAACCTTAGAGCTAAAACTATTGCCAGAGTATTGAAATAAAATTGCGATGACTTTTGAGCATGTCGTTCTGATTCTTGCGAAATATCAAACACCGACTTAAATAGGAAATGTGCAATAAGGCATGATAGGAATTTTAGACCTTGTTTTTGTCCTTTTAAGTCTTATTTGCTTTTTCTTTACAAAAAAGAAGAAGTTGTGTCGTTTCAACAAAGAAAACATAAAAATTACGGATTTTAGGGAGAGGGCATAAAAGCTGCAAGGACTACAGCTCCCATCATGCTTTGTAATACAAAATGGTGTCCCTGCACGTTGCCTATTGATTGGATCAAGTTTCTGTTTCACGGGTTAGTTGTAATCACGTGATTGTTGAAACAAATAATACATGATATAGAGATTCAACATTGGCACACGTATTGGATGGCAAGAATATTGAAATATCTTTGCATAACTTAATTAAGATCGTTATCTCACGATGTTGCTAATACTATAGTTCATTTTAAAATACCCAAAAGCTATAAAAGTATTCGAGTTATTTTAATAAAAACATCACGCGTTTATGCTCAAAATTGGTTTACTGTATCTGAAAATGATACACTCAATTTGTCAAAATTTTTGTTCAAATTGATAAAAAATATCAGTTTAAAATTGTCCATGTGGTGTATAACGCTTTGTAAAAGAAGTACTGAAAAATATACAAGCTAAAAAATGATATATAAATAAATAACTATTGAAAACCTTAAAACGTGGCATTTTCAATGCCTGGAGAAGCTAGTGCATCCACACAATAAATAATAGTAAGTCTAATAGTGACTATTACCCAAATAATTGATAKCAAATTGTGAGTTTTTTTGTGATGGGTTAACGATTAGATTTTGCCAGTGGTCAGACGGTCGACTGAAATTGTCAACTTCTGTTTCGATTTGCTCTTTTTGCAGCTGCTCACGTGGTTAATGACGTCAGCTTCTCGGCATTCATCAGTGCAGTATCCCTGCGTCTGGCAATTGTCGCACCACAATTTGGCTATGGCTCCACAGGTACAAAACTCCTCACACCGTTCTASATTTAAGTACAGTAAGAATAAGTGATCAATCAAAGGTCTTCCTTAATTGATTAAGCATTTTGCTGGGTTCCTTCCATTGAAATAAGAGTAAAAGGCATTGAAATGGGTTCCTTATTGAAATAAACATGTGAATGATTTCTCAACAAAAATATGAATTTTTGGTGTCGCCATTTGAATGTGCATTTCAGAAAGTGAGCTAATCTGAGCCACGCGATTTCCTCGGGGCCGCGCGCGAATCAATCAGACCGCGGGATCTCATGGGATTGCACGAGAGAATCAAACACTTTTTCTTACCTGTTCCATACAAGGGCTTTACCCTGACGACTTTTGAAAAAGTGTTCATAACGACGGTATGCGATTCACTCCAAGGCTGGATAAGTTGGAGTCTTTTACTCACAAACAGGTACCTCTTACTGGCAAGGGMTCGAGGAAGAACCTCGTTTATGTCCTTTCGTAGTTCTTCGAGTGTACCGTACATATTGGYTCTCACACTTCCTATAAAGTGGGCAATTGTGCCCATCTCTACATTTGGGCGCAGGAGACTTAATTGCAGGTTTTTGTAGAGCACAGGTCTAACGTTTTCTAAAAGAATGGAATGGAAAATCGTTTAGCAATGATGTTGATTAATGATATTGACGATAATGACCAGCTTAAAATCGATATGGTTTTGAAAGCAATGTGTTCTTAGGAAATATTGTCAGGATTCGATCTTCTCTGACTTTWTCCCTTAAAGCCTTAATAGTCGAGTGGTGAAAACACGTGCACTGCAAGCGACAGTTCAATGGATCGAGTATATAGAATAGTAATATAAACTGAATAAAAATATTTTTCACTAGCTTAAGATTTTAATGATAACGCAGACRTTTCGGTCAGAAGTCTGACCTTCCTCAGTGCGTTGTAATGAAATAGGTTTGCACGCGYAAGTAAACGGGTTGAAAAATTTRAATTAGCGCGYGCGATTTTTACAAGAATTTATGATTGTTCTGTAAGCTAAGGGTATCACAGTTCTAACATTTSCCGAGTTACAGTCGAGCTCAGAAAACCAAGCTTCTAAAAAGAGTCTTTTATGATAACTTGGTTCCGACTGGACGATTCTGGCATTGTCAAAGTCCATAGAGTGACCTGAAGTGTTAGAATGTTCAGCAATTTTTAAGAAAGGAGCATTCTGACATACTGCCCTGCGGTGTTCYTTTACTCTGGTCTTCAAATATATAAAGAATAGTMTTTCGGTCWAAAATACTGCCAGTACAGTCGACATAACTCTATAAAAACTCACTTATTCCAAGTGWTAMATTTTAGCATTTAATCTGATACWTACCAACGGAGTCGGTCGAAACCGCCTCGTCAAGTGCGGGAGAGCTGGATTCTTCTTCATCTATGGCGTGTGGTAGAGAGGGTGTAGGGGATGGTCGTCTTGCTCCACTACTTGGGCGACCTTCACCGCTTGGAGGACTGGTTGGAGGAGTTTTTAGAAGGTCGAAAGCGGAGGCTATCAATAATTCCTCGTTCGTCTAGAAAGCAATATCAATTAAGAAGTATAAAAAATTGCAGTTGAGTTAAGATTATTATTACAATTCAATCTGTCCAACTTGAAATTAAAATTGAACACATGTAAATGGTCTCATATACCTTTTGGGGTTCTTCTTCTTCTTCATCCAAAACGACTGCAGGCTCAAGGGGCTCCGGTGTTGCGCTTCGYGGTGAATCACGCTGTGATGTTTGACTCTCGATATCAGCTTCTAATGCCTCTTGGGAGTTTTTGATTGATGAGGGAGAGGGAGTATGGACTATGACAGGATTCTCTGTGAAGGCTCTAAAAACTTTAGGCGTTGCAGGATATGCAGGTGGTGGAGAACCCGTCTGGAAATATGGAAAAAGAAAATGGGTCAAATAGACTAGATTTGGGCAACGGTTTCAGTATTGTCGGAAAGCTATGGTGACAGCACCTTTCAGCATATACTTCTAGTTCCTATATTTTGAATCCTTTGTTCRTGTYATTTTTTCTTCCTTTTTCTTTCGTCCATTTTTTTTACTTTCTTTCTTTATCTCTTTAACTTTTTCTTTCCTTTTTCCTCATTAAACTATTAAYATAATAATATTGATGCTGATGCTGATTATTATTATTATTATTGATTATTTATTTACCTCAATAGCTGCATGTAATGATTCCACAGAGTCGGTCTCGTCAACCTTTCCGAAACCAGAGTTAATCTCGTACATGCACGTTTTCATGTCTTTGTCCAGATCATCCTCTCGCCAACATTGGTCGGGTGTAGTGGAAGGACTCTGCTTGATYCTTTTAGTCTTACGATATCGAATATAGAGTACGACTGCAATAATTAACACCAGCAATAATACGATTATGATGACTATAACAATAATGTTAGTTGTAGACAAACCGTCCTCCTCAATCTTTTTCTCAGAAATGTATTCCTTGCCATTTAGAGTCATGTGTGGCACTGTGACGATTGTATTTCCGTTGAATTTCACACTGATCCCTTTAACAACATGTGAATATAACGATTTCGTRACGTCTTCCTTCTGGGATTTTATCACAGTCATATTCAGTGTCGCAATTACACTACCCTGTCTGATTTTAGTGCATTTAAAGTTTGCATTGACGTTTAGTGCATTGACTTCWTTTTCGATTTCTTTCATCAAAGCCTCTTGACCACCTGCGGTAATTTTACCGAAGTCTCCGTTAAACGTTATCTCGACCTCGTGTGTCTCGTATGGGTCTTTGCAGCGTTCAGTTGTTTCTTTAAATTCGATCGTGCGTTGRGGAGAATAACCGTCTTTGTGTTGCAGGCGCAGATTRGAGTCAATGTTGATGTCGAGACCCGATGCGTAGGATGGAGATTGAGTTCGAAACATTGGWGTTATGACTTTTTGACCTGCGCTGTTTGTAACGACTTGGATGATTGACAGACCGATGTTTGTACCAAAAAGCTTAGATTCAGTGCTGGAAACTACGAATGCTTGTACCTGTGAATCGTGAGATGCTTTGAGTATGCCACCGAAGAAYGTCCTGTTATTTTTCATGAMCGATTTACTGCCTTTAGAAACTGTTGTCTCTTTTAATTGAGTATGCACGGCAGAGTTGGGGCCAGCAATGTCTAGGTAGACTTGGGTCTTGGTACCATCAACTGCCTGGCCTGACTTGGTCTTCARCTTGATTTGGACTTGCATTTCGCAGGAAGATGATCCGTCGCGGCTATGGTCGGGAATGAGTRTAGTTAACTCAGTCACGAAGTTCGCYCTTTCCAGGAAACACCAGGCAAGCATCGTACCGTCATCCTGGTCGACATCATTACTGAAGTCAACATCCATTTTAGATTTTTGTGCCGAAGTGATTGCTTTCATTGTTGTCCCCAGGCTCCCTGAAAACCCATTTTGCTCAGACAATTTGTAGGCCACGATGAAAGCAACGTCCATAATGTTGAAATTGCAGTCGTAATTCACGTCACCGTTGACAGCCGAATTTGGGCAGGATCCTCTTGATAGGGAAGGAGAGGCCACGAGATTCTTGTCCACGGTTCGGGAAGATTTTACAGTGATTGTCGGTGTTCCTGTTTTCAACCATTTAAAAGTTACTTCGGCAACCTTAGCTTTCATTGCATCAGCTGCATCTACAGCCGAGAAAATATGTATGGAATTMTCAGTGACGTCATAGGCATGCGCAGTTTCTACCGATACGACTTCGACGAAGGATGTATCGAACTCCACGAACATGTCTACAGCAAGTATTCCGATGGATCCTGGGTTAACTGTCAGTGGCATCGTCCAGGTACCCCCAGTAGCTAATGATGGTATGCTGTTTTTGACGTTGACTGTCAATGTCAATGTTGCGGACCTTCTGTTGGATGTGTTGGATGATTGGTCAGTCACTTCGATCACAAGGGTATGCATTGGCTTGGACTTGGCGTCGAGCTGTTTCTTGACGGTGATAACGCCTAAAGAATCAGTTGAAATTGAATTAATGTCAAACAAAGCAATACAAGATATTTTTGTGGTCTTGGGTTTGATGCGCAACCTTATGGAAGAGCCATTATTGGCAATTATAGTTGTTATACAAATGATTTTTTATTATTGTTGCTGCTTCTGTTGTTGTTTGTGCTGCTGTTTATGTTTCTGTTGCAGTTGTTGTTGCTGTTATTGTTGTTGTTAGTGTTGCTGTTTTCTTTTGTTGATGTTGTTATTGTTGTTGTTGCTGGTGTTGTTACTTTTGTTATTGTTATGGCTGTTGTTATTATTGTTGTACAGCATTATTATTCTTGTCCAATTATCACTCGTTTATATAGCATATTGTCTCTATTTCTCTTTCTTTAATCCTATATTTGTCGCTGTTATTGCTACACATCGTAGATAACTAAACTAAATGTATTATACTTACCAGTGATACTGTCAATGGAGAATTCATCTTTATCGTTCCCAGTCTTAATCGAGTATCTTACTTCTCCATCAGCCCCATAGTCAGCATCAGTAGCATTGACATCATAGACGAAACTAGAGGCAAGATCTAAGGCTTCGACAGCAGCAGTGCTCACTACAACAGGTGAATACTCATTGACACCCAACACAGTAATATCAACACTAACGGAGTTGTTTAATGGCGGGGTTCCTTTGTCGGTTGCATACACCGTTAGACTATAGCTCGTGTTGGAGTTGTGGCTTTGTGTTTCTAAATCAAGRTTCTTAGCAACTTTGACTTTAGACCCTTCTATTACGAARAAYCCCAGGTCGTTTCCACTGAGTATAGAATAAGTGACCTGTCCGTTAGCACCAGAGTCCAGATCTGTAGCTGTTAYGTCTGTTACTTCGAACCCTGTGGTAGCGTCCTCATTGACTGTTACASTGAAGCGTGGTTTAYTGAACGATGGTTTATTRTCGTTCACATCACTGATGCTTATCTGTACCGTCATTACTGCAGTCTTGCTACTAGAGGACTGGTCTTCTGCTGTAATAGACAAAAGATACGACGACGTGGTCTCACGGTCTAGTCCCCCAGCAGTACTAAGATTCCCAGATGAGGCGTTGATGGCAAATGCAGTCTCTGTATTCCCTGACGAAATAGAATACCTAATTTCACCGTCCGAGCCACAATCGTCATCTGTTGCTGTTGCTTGGTAGATAAATGTTCCCATAGCAACGTCYTCTGGGATGACCTTGGTAATGGATGAGCTCGCAAAGACTGGTGGGTATTCGTTCTTGTACTTGATGTTCAGCGTGACAGTTGTGTTGGACTTGAGTGTAAATGGTTCGCCATGATCTTCAGCCTTGACCACAATTACATAAGACTTCTCWGGGATACACGGCGAATCTAGATCTTGCGAGACTAGAACATAATTTCGTRCCATTAGACTTGTAGCCTTTATTATTTTTCAAAACTTTYACGATTTTTGCTGATTACGTCGACCGACATACACAAAATTGCACTACATGCAGAAATTAAGAACGAAGGGATTCATGGGAAATACGGCAATTAGACGAAGTGGAATAACAATAAATACTTTATTTTAGAAAATTACTTAACCTAAGGTGTAAGTTATAATTTAAGTAATTTCATCTGTGATTGATTGCAAGAATGGCACTTATTAATCGGTCTCAGCTTCTATGCTCAATCCTCGTTAAATTGTAAAGGCGATTGAGACTTGGTCGTAGTAAAACAGAACTTTGAACCGATTGTTTAGGGACAGTCTGAACAAATCCGATGATTGGCTTAGAAAACAATGGCCAAACAGTAGATGGTCTTCCCAATAATAAAACAATAAATTACCTAACAGTATAGAAGTGAGCAATTATCAAACAGGTTTCGATTTAGATATATATATAGGTACTGTATTACTGACTGTTTGATAACTTACCATTCAACACCAAAGCTCCTGTTGATGAGTTCACGTAGAATATTCCAGTAGCATTACCATCAACCATAGAATACGACACTTGTCCATTTTTACCTCCGTCAGGATCGACTGCGCGAATAGTAGCTACTGTGGAGCTCGGTGCATTGTCTTCTGACACGTCAAACGTGTAGTTCGACTGCGTAAACGTTGGTGTATTATCGTTGGTGTCCTCGACGTTAACGTAAACGATGAACGTTGCAAACTTGACGTTACCCTTGCTGTCGGAGTCACGTGCTTGGATGTTAAGGGTGTAACTGGATGCTTCCTCGTAATCTAACGTGCTAGTTAGTTTTAAACAACCTGTTGTGGAGTCTAATGTGAATTTTCCACCTTCGTTTCCTGGAATCAAGGCATAACGTTGATACTCATTACAATGGTGATATTATTATGTATTTTTTTGACATTCTGAATCAAAGTTTATGACACAGAGTTATAAAAAAGGAACGGAAAGGAACGCATAGACAAACTAATTTATATACCCTGCGAAGATATTTCCAACATAGAATTGATTCTATTTATCGTTTTCAATCATTCAAAAGACAAAAGACCATAGGCCATTTTAGTTGAATGAACAATAGATACTAATGAGAAATCCTATGTTGAAGTTAATCCAAGATGGCCGCTGTGGCGTATTTTGAAAACGAAGAGTACGATGTAAATTGGTGAATTTCATCTTAATCATCTTCAGACTTTTCGTTCAAGAAGTGATAATGAGTTTTCATATGATAAAGTATTTCTTACCTGATTGGATGTGRTAAGTCACWTGACCATTCTCTCCATAGTCATCATCAGTGGCGTTAACATCATACACGAACACCCCACCACCAGGACTTACATTTTCGCCAAAACTAAAGTTAAACGAGCTTGGATGCGCTAATATTGGTGTAAACTCGTTGAYCGGTGCAATTGTGATATCRATGTTTGCTGTATTSGTCTTTGGTGGACTTCCCTGGTCAGATACCTCAATRCTCAGTGTATGGTTCATCTTTGGTAGAGGTGTTGCYTCCAGGTTGAGCGATTTGTTTGCCTTCAGATCTCCCGTGTTTTCGTCAATCAAAAAGTATCCATTTTCATTACCACTAAGTATCTTGAAACGTARTTTAGCATTGAGACCAGCGTCAGGATCTGTCGCGACGATTCGATTRAGAACACCGCCAACGGTYACATCCTCGYTCACAGGGAGAGGRCTTGGCATGTTGCCRAAGGAAGGMGCGTTGTCATTAATGTCTGTTACATTGATTRTGACCTTTCCTAGAGTTAACCTCTCTTTTCCAGCCACTGCACCATCTTGCGCCTTTACAATAAGCTCGTATGTGGCAACAGCCTCTCGATCCAAAGCTGTCTTTATTCTGACGTTACCATTGGTCGAATGAATCTTGAACGCATCACCAGTGTTTCCTTCTGTGATTGAGTAATACACGTCTCCTTGTGGGCCTGAATCAAAGTCAACTGCCGACACCGTGGCAACTATTGTGTTAACTGTAGCGTTTTCTGAAATGCTGGCAGAGTAGATGCCACTGGTGGGRTTAAACAGCGGTGAGTAGTCATTGATGTATTTGACGTCAAATGGTGCGGAATATCCCTAAAAATAAAGAGAAATGTCTTCGTTATTGGATTTGTACTCGGTGATTGTGACATGACTTGGTCAAGGTACTGTATGGGTAGGTAGTTTCCATTTCCAAGAGTTAAATCTTGCATGGTCAGGGACTACCTGCTACTACAATTTTCTTTTTTCTTTTTATTCGTTGACGTATTCGACGTAATTGCCCTAGTTCATTATGACGTCACATCAAAATATTCTATTGTTTTAACGCTAAGGATTATGGTCGCCAGAAGGGATCAGAGTGACTGCATTTCAAATAAAATGTACATGAGCAATCATTTATACTTGATATATATCAAAACACGATTCATTTAAGTTCTACTTTAGTCGACAATATAAATGGGTCCAACTTTCCGCTGCTTTTGAGCATCGTTTTCCGATCTAAACATACTGTGACGTCATATTAAAATAGGGCAATTTGTATATATTTTTATGGAAAAGGAGGCATCGTAACGGCAAAAGTATTCTCTTATTCGTTTAGGCATTCAATCATTTTCACTAGTCAACCAACCAACCAAACAACAAACAAACCAGCCAGCAAGCCAACCAACAAGCCAATCAATCATTTTCAATCCATCAAAGGTATGAATCCCTTACCGTGTGCCCAAAGTTAGACCTGAATGCCATGATGTAATTTTCTCCAAATAAAGAAATCGATAAATTGGTGAACTGTGCGATGCCTTTCACAACGCTAACGTTGAAAGTGGTTCCATTCAGCACTCCTTGTAAGGCCGACGGCTTTAATTCTACACTGATATGCCAGGGCTGTTTAAGAGGTAGGCCCAGTTTCCCTGTGCCACAGTCGTATACCGCGACAACAGGCTGAACGCCGCAGATCACTGATTGGTTGCAGTCCTTTGGCTCTGTGATAACCTCAAGGCAGAACTGGCGAGCGAGGACATCGAAACTAACTGATGTAACGGACATGTTCGTGTAGGAAGAGGCAGGCTCCGTTATCACTGTAAATGTCAAGCTGTGACCCGAAGAAATKTCGTAGAAAGATATGTCCTTCCATTCAACTCTCCCGAATGTGGGAAYCTGAAGCCGAGTTGTGCCATTCATAGCTGAGCCTGCGCTACCTTGGGTATGCGTTACATCAATGAACCACTTTCGATTTTTCCATCCAATYTTATCGACAACGACGTCTGGGTAAAGGGCTCGTATTTCAATTATAGGCTGATTGCCGCATATCACGGTATCGTTGCAATTACCAGGYTGYTGAGCTAACACCACTCGCACGGCAAGTTCCTTGACTTCAAAAGAATCCGACTGGTCGAAGAACTTATACTTTGACTCCGGTAAAGTCATGGCRGTCAAGTTCAACTTGAAACCAGTTCCAGAACAACCGATGCTGAGATTGGAGAATTTGGCAACACCACTGGAAAACTCRACYGTYTGAGTCCCATTAAGTAAACATCGATTATYAGCAAGCTTTGCTTGAAGAAGCCATTTACGTCCTTTCCAGCCGGTGTTACGAACAATCTGGCCATCAGCTAGGTCTCGTACTTCAACGCTGGGTTGCGAGCCGAATGGCATCGTTTCATTAGCRTCGGCAGGCTGTGAGACCACCGAAAAGACCAGCTCTCTTTCTTTGACTTCAAAGGAAGCCGAACTTGCGTTGAACTTGGCCGTTGTTGGCTCTGTGATGATGAAACTCAGCACATAGCCAACCCCACTGTGAGAAATACTTAAATCTGTGAARTTAGCGAAACCAYYCASAAAATCAACACTAAGTGTTCCGTTGATTGTAGCATMAGGGTCTCCRGTTCCTTTTTTAATACTAACTGTAGCCGTCCAGTTATATCGTGATGTCCCCAGTTTAGTCACCAAGCGGTCGGAGCAATCCAATACTTTGATCCTCGGCTGTGTTTTAAAYGGGACAGTTTCGTTGGCTCCTGAAGGTTCCAGGTCAACTACAAGCTTACACGGGACTTGATATTCCGATACCGAGTTCTGGGTTTCGTTGGCTGCTTGYTGTGCCATGCGTTGRTCGTATGTTAATGAGCCGTTGGCATTGCCACCTTAAGAGGAAATAGGATGATTAATGGGAAAAACGGTTTTTTTTATTAAAATCATTGTTCTTCATTATATAACATAGCTATTAAGGTCATAAGTTTAAAACAGTGGATGTCGGCGCGATAACTAAGTCCCCACAAAAATTAGGTATATGTCTTCACCGGAAAACTTTGTAAAATGTCGAAACAAAAGTAATATATCATTTGTATACTATAATTTTCATATGTTTTCATTAGTTATTATCATTGTTTTTAGAGGTGGAGGGTGTTTAGGGTGGAGGGGACTGCAATATTGTGGGTGTGTGAACAATAATCCAGGACATTATAAAAAAACAACATTCACCAAAAAACGGGGATCACGGAGATGTGGTTCTTACCCGTTCCATTTTTAGCACGAACACCCCCCGTTGGGTCTGTTGGTTCTGGTACAGGCTCTTTTACTTTCAGTCCAGAAACTTGCATTCCACCCATACTTTCTGACAGTGAACCAGATTGGACCGCTTTGACCACTCCGTCTGTATAGTTTTGTAGCTGGCTAAATGAATCGCTGTAAGATCCTAGCGAAAAATGCCAAATTATGATACATTCATATGGCAATTGGGCTATTCCGAGGGTTACGTTTTCACGGTTTAACAGAATGTGAACAGCGCTATCCAGTGAAATTTAATTCATACAAAATAACTATATAACTCTTCGTACAAACGGCTCGTTACCATTTACAGAGGCGGATCAAGGGGTATTCATCAGTGCAGCGTGAATATTGCGTCATTTTAAACCAATATCACACTTATTAAGAAATAATGATCATGAKTAGGAATTGAAATATGCATTTTTAGTGCGATAGCATTTTATACTTKTATTCTTGTAAAAAACTGAATCATTTCCTTGATTTTGTACTCCCCCTTGTCAACCCCTGGTTTAATAAAGGTTTGCGTTCGACGCACGACGTAGCAAGGGGGGTATCTTTTATACAATATTTACCTGTAGAGTTCTGGGCCACTGTTTGGTTAGTCTTAGTAGTGTTTGTCTGTTGTCCATCATCTATAGTTTGTGCTGGTTCATTCATTATCTGTAGGTTTATATCCTGTCCAGATGCCGCTCGTCGGCGACGTGACGCACTCACGACGTTCATGAAATGAATAAGTTTAGGATCGCATCCCAACAATCTGGCTAAGTTTTCAACCAGGTTTTTCTTGAAGAATTCATCAATTGTAACTTCGGCGCCAGTAGAAATAGTGATCTAAATGACAAATAAAGGATATTACATGGTCGCACGGAGATACGGATTTTATCTTCGAGTTTTGAAAAGATTTGTCACAAGTGAGCATAGCTCACTTGAACTTTAAAATACAGCCTTTTGCAAAAATTATGAGAATTGTCTAAATATCTAAATATCATAATATCCATATCCATATATTGTCCGGAACCTGCGGGTTTGCTAGAATAATTCATTGTTGACATCGAGAAAATGTTCAGAACTAAGGATAAGTCTGTCGCCAAAAAAAACTAAACAACAAAGACAAGGGACTAAGGGCATCGCGCGGGATCATGCACTTGATATTATGATATTTAGATATTTCAACAATTCTCATAATTTTTGCAAAAGGCTGTACTCACTTAAACACTAAAATATAGGTATTTTATAGATAATATATTATAATAAGAGATATTGGTAGAATTTTATTTCAACAAAATGATCGTTAACTTGAATGGGTTTACTACAACAAATGGGAAACTCTTTAACCACCTCTGCGCATGCTTAAATGCAGAACGTGTCACATTCACGCGTCTTTCTAATTATTCAATGGTTACCTGGACAACTGGTGATGTTCGTATTTCAATGGGTGTTGGTCCTTTTATTACAAAGTAYAGAGTATTTTGCGGTGTATCAAAGTAGTTGGAACCACTTATGTCTGTCAGCTGTGGGTACCAGTAATCGTCAGGCTTTCCAGTTGGGATTGGTTTAAATGTSGTCTTTTGTCCGTTTAACTCGGCGTTTTGAGGATACATATATAATCCTTAAATGACAAGAATGTATTTTTAAATACAGTATTAAAATATTTTAATATTAAAAGTGTCCTTATCGAATTGTTGAGAAATTGGGCTTGTGGGTGAACTGTCTGTTCATACTTGCTGCCTATTTACCTACGTGCACCCGAGAGCCTTGCCGCGATTTTCTCACATAAGAAAAATCGCCATCTTTGATTTTAAACCAATCAGAAAGCAACTGCCAAAATCCGATCTTTTTTAAAACAAACGATGGCAAAGGATCACGGAAGCTCGTAGCTCGTGTGCCTTTAACAAAGGAGCACCCGTCCTCAACTTATGAAGTAATGTTTTGGAGTTGTAAGTGCTGTTTTTAAGGAGCACCCGTCTTCAACTCATGGAGTAATGTTTTTGAGTTGTAATAGCAGTTTAAAGGGCCATGGTTTGTGAAGTCATAGTGCAAAAATAGGACAATTAAGTCTCACCTTTTCTGTATACATCTTGCCGCTGAGGCTGTTTGTAAAACAAYCCGATTCGGATGGCCTCGTCTTCCTTGCTGTTTATTAAATGGAACCGTACTTTTTGAGGCTCAGTACTAGAGAAGTAGAGACTGTAGTTCCTATCTGCTCCAACGATTCCAAAGAAGGTAGACACTCTCTCTTGGCATGTGTATCCTAGACACCAACCATGATCCATGGGCCCATTAAGAAGGTTAACATAGCCGTCAGCACTCARATGTACGGGAGAAAGGCGCCGTGTCTCTGTGTCCTTGTCAAGGCTCTCTGTAGATTATAAAACCAATAGAGAATTATGATGAGGCTCACGTCGTTAGGCCTGGGTTCCAAACAAGAAGACGATTCACGACTTTCCATACTCAGGTTCAGTGAACACGAACTAAGCATTGAGCCGAGGCGTCAAACACTGATCTCAGATCTTTTATTTTATATTCACTGTACCTTGACCAGTGCTTTGTTCATGGTCTCTGAACCTGASTATGGAAAGTCGTGAATTTTTCCCTCTGTGAGACTGGAATGATCTGTCATTTTATAATCAGAAATTGAAGTGCTCTAGCTTAAAGGTCGTCTAGCTTTACGACGTCATATATGTTTTTTGGCGAAGAGCACCATGGCATTGATGAAGCGCATTTGTCCTTACCAATAATCAGCATGCGATGCTTAATCTTTGTGCACTGATAACCGTTGTAGACGTCCTTCCAGGTGCAGTAATTCTCTGTTTCAGTGCCTCTYACTATTCCTTTCTTGGGAAATATGTTGTTTATAGGAATTCTAGATCCATCCGTTCTAGTTAGAGCAGCGACGGGTATACGATAATCACCTGGAATAATGAGTGTTAAATAATTAGTGTCTTAGTAATACACTTATTTCCACTCAGTCCCATCCGGATTCAATATCTTTACATAATTAATATTATGGGGTTGGCCGGCCACCCTGACCATCACTCCCCCCTGGATCTGTCCTTATACTTACCTAGCCCAAACCTTGGATCTTTGCCCCATTGGTATTCTGCTTTAGGGATCAGGGTGGTCCTAACACTAGAACCTGTAAACGATCCGTCTAAGTCTGTGATTAGTAATTGCCGTCTTCCATCGCACGGCATATCAACACAGTCAGATGGGTTGATCCAAYTTAAACCCGGTTGGATGAAGAAAAGCARTGACTTGGTGTCCACGTTTTCCTTTTTGAACTCTGAAAAACAAAATAATCGATACATCATGATAGAGCAACGATGTCAGCGACGCCATTTTGTAAAATAAAACATGGCGAGAGCTGTAGTCCTCAATCTTTTTCGTATCCGCTAAGAGAGTCCTCCTAACCTTTCGGATGAATGAATGAATATAGCGAAAAATTATATACCATACGAAAGGCTTCAGACACTGAATAACTACTATTACATATATTAGTAATATAAGTAATTATTCCACTATGATTCAATCAATCCACGAGTATATTATAGAATAATGATAACCTCACCAAGTAATAACCTTAGAGTTTCAGTCAATTACCCTTGCCTGAGTTTCCGACAAAACATTATTGAGTAAATCCACGAGTTACCTGATATGTCGGTCGGTTGGAGRAGGTCTCCTATCCACTCGTTTGTTATGACCGCAATGTCTCTTTTTCCACAAGAAACGAGAAAGTTTGCAAATGTTAGCCTTGTATATGTAGAAAGACCGTACATCGCGGTGTAGGACATGGCGGCTTCCCAGGGGTGGCTGGTTGCTCCTCCAGSACTACTAGAGAACTGTGTTAAGGTGACTCCAATGCGTCCTCCTGGATTATCGACTCCTGATAATGGAGAATAAAAATACATTTTTCATATAATGTTTACGCTGCGCTGCATAGTATTCATGTTTAACGATTGAATCACTTATATCAGGGTCCGTGCAGGTCCTTAAATCCTTGAAAAGTGCYTGAATTGAAAACTCGTTTTCAAGGGCACTTGAAACTACTTGAAAATTTGAAAATTTCGAAAAAGTCCTTGAAAACTCCTTAAAAAAGATGGATCTCTATCACGAAGCGCTAGCGATCTCTGAATTATTCCGTTCGGCTGAAGTTTTGAGGTAAGAATGTACAATTAGCATTATTTTGATGCTCCTTGAAAATTCAATTTTGGTCCTGGAAAAGTCCTTGAAAAGTCCTTAAATTTCGTTGTTGATACTCTGCACGGACCCTGTATATATATGAGAACACATAGGTAGTCACATAACCTTATTAGACACTACACACACTGCTTTCAATCGCCAGTTTATGCCAATGTTTGTACGCACAAGTTTGTATGTATATGGTGCGAATTAAAATAAAATTAAATACTTAAGTGGTAAAACCTAACAGATATTTCAAAATTAACTAATAAAAGTTTTTTCTCATGCTAATCATCGATCCTTAACTGAAATCTACCGTATCAAATCGGTTAGAGTGTTCTCACTGTAAGACCTTTCACCTGCACATGGATCTACCCAGTCATTCCCTTTCCCTCTCTGTCGTTTCTCTCTCATAAYTTTTTCCATTATCATTCCTTATTAACCATTTCTTCATCCATTCGAGTTTGAGATGGACTCACCTTCGGCAGGTACTTTTTTGGCTCCAACCTTTCCTACATAGGGTTGTCGTCCGGCGGGAATGATTTTACCATCATTGCAGTCATAACCAGTACTTGTGCCAACTATGAGGGAATCCTCAAACCTGAAAAACTTGTTTACTGTCACGTGCGTCAAAATGTTCGGTCCCCATATATTTGGGAGCACATTTACTGTATTATCAACCAATTTAACGTTGGATACTACCAGTGAGCTTTGAAGCCACGTAAAGATTCCATAGTCTACATTTTCCCACAACAGGAAGTTCGATATTTGGGAGCAAGTTTGAAGTCCTTCTTGATAACCAATGTGGAAGCCGTGCCAGCATCCACGCCCTTCGTTTCCGTGCCAACGGCTCTTATCACATGGTTCGCCGTCGGCCTTGTAACAGAAGCGCTCACCTCCCGCTACAGTGTTGTTGAAGAGGAGAGTGTTGGTCGCCAGGTGGATTTCAATGGCGCCGTGATAGTGATACAAGGCCTAAAGCAAAACAAATAGTTGAATTGCAAAATAAACTAGCAATAAATCAAACATTACACATTTCAAGAAAGAATTTGTTTTTGTCAGAACACTTTGATCACAGTCAAACCTCCACTTTTGGAAGCTCTAATAAGCAGGCACCTTTAGTTACAAACAAATCTACCAAACTAGTTCTTTTTTGCTCATGTTCTTAATTTATTAATTCCCAATTCTTGCCTACCACTTCACTCTCCTTTCAGCGGCCACCCTTAAAGAATCATAACCAACCGCCGTACCTTGCGCGCTCGTATTATTGTTTACATACGTTTAAATGAGTCAAGGATATAATAAATTATAGATTGATAGTTCTTGTGAGGTACCTAGTTAAATGTATTTCTGTCCAAACTGAAAGGACGGAAGACGATTCGCGCTCACTTTAAGAAATCCTACGAATCCGCCATTTTCGTGTCCTCCTAAAATGGCGCTTCGGCTCGCAAGGTACGGCGGTTGGTTATGACTCTTTAACTGAGCGGTCACTTTGGATAATCGCGAGGGTGAGCGCTTAATAGAAATACCACTTTAAATATTTTTGGTGAAAAGATTAGTTTATAAACATTAGAGAATTGAAAACATTCTTCCTTTGTCATAGTCATATTATAAACTCACTTTACCTCTTTCCGTCCTTTGTAGGTAGCAAAAGCTTCTGATCTGGCAACAAGGTTGTGTTTGTGCGTGTTTCCGTTGCCTTCTTCTCGAATACCAGGTCCAATGGTATGATGTATGACATTGTCTTCCACCATAAGTTTGTTGGTGCCGAATATGCCTATTCCAGTGTTATAACCTCGGTTTATGGAGATGCCACKTATGTATGATGAGTTGCCGTCTATTACATCACCAAGGCCATGAATGGCAAGACAATATCTGGAATGGTGAGTCAACACCGTCAGGTTACTATTATATTGTATTAAGGATGTAAATAGCATCAATTTGAAGGAATAACAAACTTCCCCGGCGCAATCATTGAAACTATGGATCAACTCCGTCACTAGAACGGGGACGAATGAAAAAACGGAAAGCGCACGTCTTTTTTAGACTTAAAAGTCTATTATCGCAATATACTTCGCTATCAGAAACTTGTTTGTTTCGATCAGTAGAAAATACAAAGTACTGTAGCCTGATTTTCAGCAAGAGACTCGATCCCGTGCTACAAAGAGTAGGGACCAAGTTTCGGCTGAAAAATCGAGCTGTAGAATATAAAGTAAATAAACAATGTCTACCTTGGATCCCATGAGTCTGTCCAACCAAGCTGACCGCAATCCTTAAACTCGACATTTTCAATCCTTGCATTGGCCTGCCTGTTTTTACCACCAGCAGCAACAAGAACTCGAGCGCCAAAATCTTTGTTAGTTAAAGATCCAGCGGGATCATCGAGGCCGACAATCTTGATATTCTTGGATAATAGACCAACTTCACCAGCTAATGTGTAGTCATATCCTCCTGCACTGTGCTTTACTGCTTTGTGCCTATATTTTAAAACGCCGTCCAGTTTAATCGTCTTCCCGTCCCCAGTCACTGAGACGATCTTGAAGACCTCTGATTGCCTTGGTTCTCTTGTTGTTGAAGTGATAACAATTTCATCTCCAGCAACCCATTCAACTGCCTCCACTACCTTTACGTTGTCGCTCCCTATATCTGCAGTTTGGGCTAATTTCGTCCAGTAAGGCTTCCTGGGCTTACCGTGAAAGTACATATTTCCAAACACTGTCAAGGCTTTCGTACCAGCGTTAGGACCATTGTTCTGGGGATTATCTTCTGTACTCCAACTGCCACTTAAATAAATGACGAAGTTACCAGGATATGGTTTATCTGGCCAACCAACGATTATGCTTCCAGTTACAAATATAAAGGTAGCGTTAAGTGTAAAGTCACCGGTTTCTATTTCCAGAGCTCCTTCGACGAGAAGTTTATTCAGTCTCTTTGGCTGCACATCCAACACCATCCACGTTTCTGCCGGTATTTTGACATCTTCTCCGTCCTTTGGTAGAACGCCACCATAGCCACCAAATCCCGCTTCCGCAATTTTATCCCAAGCGCTTGATGAAGACCATTTTACGTGGTCTGTAGGTCGTCCTTTTGGAGGTGGTGGAGGAGTTGGAGTTATGCATTGAAGGTAATAACATCKATACACTTTAAGTTTGATTTGGCAAGTTGGGTAATTTCCATTAGGTGTACGTTGTTTGCATTTCTTGTATTGGTACGTAAGTATCTTTGTGTCATTATTGAAAGCCCATCTCCCGTGGGGGTCATTTGGTCCTGGTAAAACACTAGTCATGTTTTGGTATTTCCCATTCGTGTCCAAATGGTCTGGGCTTTGAAAGAGTGGATGGTTGATAATGATTCTGTCAGATTCGTGCAGATCGTAGACGTCACCAGTGTAAGTTATGTTTGTTAATTGTTGTGCGTCGACAAAAGTCATATTATATTGTACACCAACAAGCAGCGTTGCTATCCAACCATCTTTATGTGTTATTGATTTTTGAGTAAACATTGACACTGCGTTACCATACTGGTTGGTAAAATTGAGCTGTTTCCCATTGAGGAACTCCGGAAGAGCTTTGTTTATCCCAATGCGACGAAAAACAAGAGGGGGTTCACAGATGTATCCTGGGTGTTCYCCATGGCTGTCCTTTTCAGAACGTTTACATTTGTCTGGTGGAAGCTGTCCAGAGTACGGTACTAATGTACCATTAACATGACCTGTGTAGGTTCCATCCAAATCTACATGAACAGCTTCATGTTCCCATTGAAACCTTGTTCTGCAAGGAGAGTTGGTGAATGTCATCTTCTCAAATCTCGTTTCAAAGCCTCCTTTGAGACTAAACTCTTTGCACTGTGAGCAGCATTGGATGGCTGCTGATTTACAACTTGCCTGATTAAAATTAACCAAGTGAACATTGGAAATCACAAGACCGTGGCTCTTAGCAGTTCTTATTCCAGCGTTAGTGTAAATAAGATTATCTCCTGTGTTGATATTACTACGAGCTACAATACAAGTGTCCATGATCATTGCGCCGCCCCATGGGCTGTCTTTCATATCCGAAGTTACGTATTCAACACCCGCCACATCGTTGTCGAGGAAGCAACCATCTCTGATTCTAACTGCACCACCTTCAACCACTTCAGCACCTCTCATGTTGTTCCAACCTATTAAGCCATCAAAATGTGCYGGTTCGGCTATTTTGTCACCACAGCGACCGCCCTTCATTGGATGGTATGTTGGGAATACCCATAATCCATAGCGTCCAAAAGAATGAGCGCTGTTGTTGTAGAAGATTTTCATTGGTATATTCCTTGGGCAAATGTTTGGGTCAAACGATGGTCCATCTGGATGATCAAACATTTGATACCAGTATCCAAAATGGGTGCCCCCAGCGGCGGCGTTGTGTCGAACGGTGTTATTTGCATTGGTCACCCAGAACGTCGCTGGTGTTATGTCMACGTTGAGGGAAGAAGAAGATGGTTTAACAAAAATGCCAAGATTTCGTTCCACTGTATTCCCCTCTTCGATACCATCCTCCATGAAAACGGCGTTGCCCAAGATGTCAAACACCACGTTGCGCTCTACAACCAGGTTGTGAATCCCATGCATTGTTATTGCTCTGTTGAAGCTATGATGAATTGCACAGCCTTTGACATATGACCCATCTACTCTACCGCTAGTGTGGAAATGTATGGGATATCGACCCATGCGGAATGCTTGTCCAGCATGACGGATCTCGACATATTCAAATCTTGCAGTTACTAATCCTTTGCTTTTTTCTGCGGCATGGATCATGATCTGAACACCAAACATATCGCTACCGATTTCATCACCAAATTTACCTTGAAAGCAATTTTGAGTTTGGAATTGACCAGGCTTGAAACCTTCAGCGCATGCTTGTATTTGTTCTTCCCATTCATCGTGCTTCGATCCTTGGATACAAATGTTTCTGGTCAGCAGTCCTACCTCCGCTCGTGTCTCTATATTCTTATTACAGTAATTCTGAACTTTAGAGATATGTTGGTATTTCAGAGGAGGGTCGATTGTCAAAGTCTTTTTGTCAGCGGAAACTCCAGTGATCTTGACTTGCTCGTTCTCTCTTTCTGATCGTCCGGTAGCCGCGATGACAATTTCATTTCCAATCTCCCATGGAACGGCCTGCGTAAGCTTTATTTGTGTGGCGCCCTTTTCAGCTGTTTCGGAGAGATACGTCCAGGTGACGCTCACGGGTTTACCATGCATGTCGATGGTCCCTTCACGGAGAGCAATATTTTTGGCACCGTAAACGGGAATTTCCGTTGATCGCACGTGGCCATGCATAGTAATTGTAGCTTTATGTTGAAAGGGTTCATCTTCCGTTCCTATCTCTAGGACACCTTTGTTAGCAATAAAGATATATTTTGCCTGAAGGTGAATATCCTTATCGTCAAACTTTAGTTTTCCTCCGTCGATGAGAATCATCTTGAGGACTGGTGTATCCATGTCCAATACCATGGTTTGTCCTTCACTTATGACCACAAATCCATCTTAAAAAATAACAGAAAGCAATTGTTAGAAATAAACATGTGGACATTGAAAATAGGCCTTGTTGTATTTAGTTTTCTCTATAATATGGAAAAAGTATAGAATACAAGAAAGCGGAGTGGAAAAAAATTCAATCAACTTAAGTTAGTGTAAATTTTGARATCAGAAATGATTTAGTTAACAGAATGGGGGGAAGAATGAAGGCAATCCATCCTCCATATCCGCGCCTTTATTCACATTCGTTACTATCACCGCTACATGTGAGAGGACTTGGATGCTTTTTAAGCATTAGAGATGTTTTCCGTGTTTCCGAAACACGCGGAATTCACGCGGAATTGCTGGGAGAGATACGACATGCATGGTAAACCCGTGAGTGTCACCTGGACGTATCTCTGACCTTGTGTTTTAGGTAGTCATTGAAAGAGCGACTTGTCGACGACTTGTCACGATTATGGCAAACTAAAAATAACCCACTCTCGCGTTATAATTGCAACGGTAAACCYCCATAAAGCASGTCACGTGATCTCTCTGCCGTTTGCAGTTTGCCGTGAACGTCATGCTTAAGCTCTCTAATAACAYGGGTTTTTGCAAATATCAACCAATCAATGCGCACGTTATATAATACACTGATAATACGCTACATAAACACAATACATAAAACTTAATGACAATTGTATTATAGGATTTACCTTTTCCGGGGGGGTCGTTTCCTCCCCAACTGAATTTCGACGACCATAAATCCAMATAGTAAAACCCATCTTTCACACCCACCGCTTTTCCTCTTCCATCAACTTCAACACGAACGTTAGTCTTGATGGTTTTATTGTGTGCCCCCGTTTTGCATTGTATTACAGTCTCATTAGCGAATGTCACAGCACACGGGACACCATCAATAGTAACTTTATTATCATTCTGGTTGTTACTAAAGCCACTGCCTGTAATGGTGACTGGGACGCCACCTCCAGTACCCCCCCGAGAAGGACTCACTGATTCTACGCGTGACGTGAGAGACTGAAGGTACGTAAATGCCTGAGAGAGTTCCTTTTCGAAGGTGCCGAATGAAACAGTTACATCGCACTTGCTGTCTGACCCGTGTGATGCTGAGTCACTTTGAGGAACTTCACAGGCAATGTGAGTGTCATTAACAGGGGTGCTGGTATCATGGACACAGATATTGTTACAGATTTTGACAACAGTCGACTCATTGAAACCGCTTCCCTCGACAGTCGTAATAACTCCACCTCCGTGTCCACTTTGAACAACGCTAATGGAAGTGAGTGAAAAATCGATGGAGAATTCGGATGTCGATTTTGCTTTTCCTTTACCAGTCACAACGACAGAGACTGGGTATTTTCCTGCCGGCTTATTTGGAACGGTGCATTTAATTTGACTTTCGGTTGCTTGTGTCACTGAGCATTGCCAGTCGCCAATCATGACTTTTACATTTGAAGTTGAACCCGTTGGAAAGTCTCCGTTTAAGGTTAACTGTTGTCCTCCAGCTCCAGATTCTGGGGAAATAGATGTCACTTCCGGCGTGGCATCACTCGAATACGTTATTGTTTTGGTGGGAAAAGTGGCTCCACCGGATTTGGTCACAACGTCAAAAGTCCCAGCACTATTTGGTGGTGTTGTAAAAACTACTCTCGTGGTTGCTACACTGATGACTTCAGCTACTTTGTTGTTGACTTTGACTATAGTTTGACCTGCGTTGATATTGAACCCAAAGCCGTCCATGTCAACAGTTAAACCTCCTTGTTCGCTGCTCGTTGACGGACTGAGATTTGATATACTTGGTATCGCAGTAGCTTGAGTTGTTATATTCTCTTTAAATACAGCAAGTCCATTAGTGGTGTGCAGTACCATAATGTCATATACCCCAGCGGTGATATCAGATATAGTACATTTGATACTTTCATCGTTGAGATCAGTTATTGAACACGTGACATTACCGACTTTTACGTCAATTTCATCTGTGATTGTTCCAAAGCGACTTCCCTGGATGACCAATTCATGATTGGATGTACTTATGGTAGTGTGCTGCGTATCATTAACTTGTGGTGTCTTAGCAGAATCGAAGGTAAACGTACAGCTTGGACAAGAACTCTTTTCACTACCTGTTTGGACGATAACTTCGTGCGCGTCCAAGCTCGACGATGGTTCAGTCACACATGTAAGTGTATTGTATGACGCACTTTTCACTTTGCAAGTCACGGCAGTTCCTATACTAACTGTATTGCCTGCTGACGTCTCATCAAACCCGTCACCATTTATGGTCAAATTTGTTCCACCACCCTGTGAGCCTGTTGATGGCGTGACGCTAGTCACGCGTGGACGTAACACAAAGTTGGACTTTCCTTCTGCGGCAAGTTGAATAAGCGCCTTACCTCGGTTTTTAACTACAACATHGACCTCTAGAGACTGTCCAGGCTTGGGTTTATTGGCCCGATCAATTTTGCATTTAATACTCGTTTCAGAGTGGGATGTGATTTTGCAATTGTGACCTCCAAAAGTGACTACATTGTGGCATTCTGTYGCACTAAAACCTTTCCCTGTTATTGTTATTTCTTGTTCACTGTCTCCAGTATTCGGGCTCACTTCCGTCACCAAAGGAGTGCGACAGTCTTTGTAGGTGAARGTCAGGCAAGTGTCCTGTTGTGCTTGTGCCGCGAGTACACTTTCCGAGCTGCACCCTGTAAAATCACTGGTAATGCCTGTGCTGCACGATGTTGACTGAGATGGTGATTGCGCAGTAGCTTGACAAATAGCGGGAAATCCTGAAAGAAATATTGAAGTTAGTAAAACCATATAAACAGATAGTAAACCCAGTCTTCACTGGAAATAATCGCGCGCTTTAAAGGTTGTAAATTATATGTAAATATGATGTAAGTGTTCAAAATTCTGTAAATTTGATGTAAATGATTTCCATTAAATTTACAGAATTTTGGACACTTACATCACATTTACATCAAATTTACAACCTTTGAAGCGCGCGAGTTTTTCCCGTGTTAACTATTTTGTGATATTTCACTTGTTCAAAGTTTTCAAACTGATATTCAGTTAGCTTTTGTATTCTACATTTTAATGGGAATCATCGTGTATTTTATTACGTCTTTCGCACACTAGTAACGAGGCATTATTCTGTCAAAACGAATTGTAAGTCAACTGAAGAGGTTTTTAGCAAACGTAACTAGTTAATGTCTGAAAGACGAACAGAATATTAAGTGTAATAACAATACAATACACGATGAAGTTACTTTTGATTCTTCGAGGATTCAGCAAAGAAAATATCAGAGAGGATGAAATGCATYTTTAAGTACTAAATGGATCTTTACTGAAAAGTTTTATTGCAGACGTTCTTAAAATATGACACTTATATCATTATTTGGAAATGATTATCGCGCAGAAATCAAGTTTTTTTCATTTCCGCCCACAATTTCATTGTAAATTTAACTCTCTAAACAATATTCACCTGATACTTTAACACTGATGCTTTGTTCTTGCGATTGAAGTGAGCTCACTTCTACTTTCCCTTTCATAACTACTTTTCCTTCAGCCATTTCCCCACTGGAAAAGAAGAAATCTCCATTTGACGTAAACTGATGCTTGAATGATCCCGTGCTGCTTGCCGCACTTTTGAAKCCGYTTTCATAAACATTCAAATCTTCAGTGGCGGTTTGGAAAACTTGGAATTTGATGTCGGTTAGTCTGGGTGCAGACCATTCCCACTAAAAGAATTGGAATTAGTAYATAAGTAAACAGAGAATGCATTGAATGTCTGTTGACCGTAGCCCTTAATAGGCAATGTGCAGCAACGCCATTTTGTGCAGCAAAGGATGATGGTAGTTGTAGTCCTCGCACTTTTTTATGTCTGCTAAAACAATCCTCCTAAGTAGTTTTTGTTTTTTCTAAGCGAAAATAGAAGTATTTGTTCCGTTTCTAAAGAGAAAATGTAAAAACGGCTTTTTTAGGGCTATGATAAGTACGAGGACTACAACTACCATCATGCTTTGCTGCACAAAATGGCGTCGCTGCACATTGCCTATTGATATTTTGTGGCTCGATATTGAATATTCTTTCAAAATTCTTGTAAAACATTCAATATCAAGTCTTACTTCAATGACCTGTTTTATCGGAGAACGAAATAAAAAAAAGTAACTTAGGTTTAATTATTATACCTGCACGTAGTCTCCTACGTTGATTTCAGCGAGACTTGGTGACCATGCATATCCTTTACCGAATTCTGAATACAAAAATCCAATAATATTCAGACATGGATAATTATGGCATGTATTTTATTATGTATGTTTTTCAACGTYAAACAAGTGGAATTTACCTTGATGTGTTCCCATATTAGTGATTTTCTTCGTCTTGAACCCCTCGCTTGTAATACACTTCAAGGTTGTTGAGTTACTTGACTTRACTGTACATGTCCTATCGCCAATCTTTACTACATTGTCTTCAGGTGTATCGCTAAACCCAGCTCCAGTTATAGTCACCTCTGTTCCACCAGCTAATGATCCAAGCAGTGGTGAGATACTCGACACTTGTAAAATGTACTCAAAAGTCTYGTAGGAGGACGGGATGTCCGCGTTACCTTTTCCMGGTACCTGGATTGTGATGGTGACATTTCCTGGTCTACGTGCAGGTGTTAAACATTTTATTTCGTYGTCTTTAACGGATTCAAGCTTGCACACAACATCGCCGAGTTTAACGACAACRTCCRTGCTAGTRCCAAAGTTRGACCCAGAGATRACTAAGGTTTCGTTACCGCCGACCTTMCCATTCTGTTGACTCACTGATGTCACCGATGGTGTTAGATTACCGTCATATTTGAACACTTTAGGATCGCTACTCAGTGCACCCTTAGAAACCACCACGTTGGTATCGCCAGCGCCGTGCGCAGGCGTGGTGCACTTGATTTCAGACACTGTAGCTCTGATGATGTCACAAGTGTTTCCGTCAATGGTCACCCTCAGGTCTGATTGCTCATTACTAAACCCAGARCCTTGAATGGTCAGTKYAGTTCCTCCTGCCGTACTTCCTTTGTCTGGGTTGATATCGTTGATTGTGATCTCAAAGTTGACGACAGCGGGCGTTGCAGTTACCTGCAAAAGCCAGGAAAATTATGAAATGAATGCAATGAAAACAAGCAATTAGAATATTTCACTTGGGAGTATTCATGACTTTCCATACGCAGGTTCAGTAGCCACGAACAAAGCTTTGAACCTGATCACAGATCTTTTCTTTTATGCTCACTGTACCTTGACGCTTCGTTTCAGTGCTTTGTTCGTGGTCACTGAACCTGAGTATGGAAAGTCGTGAATGCAATAGATGTCTTTGTATCATTTTTTATAAAACTCATTAATATTCATAAGGCAAAACACAATAGAAATCATAGCCCATGAAGAGAGTTGTATATTACATACAGATTTCTTGTTCATTTGCATAAACTTTTACTCTGATTTTCTGAGTCAGATTGAATTTTTTTTCAAAAGTTTCTTTAAAACCTGAGCTAATTTACATTAACGTTTCATAAGTAATATACAATATTCGCGTGCGATCTGTATGAGGTTTAAAACAGCTCGCTTTCAGCTCGCTGTTTTAAATCCTCATACAGATCGCCCGCTCATATTGTATATATTACTTAAGGGGTTTTACAAGATAAAGAAGAGAGAAAAATGCAGATTTCTTATATCCATACCTCAGCAGACCGTCGTTTCCTGCTCGGTGAGTAAATATTTTTTCCTTTTCCTTTGATGTGCAACACAACGGCTGGCGTCCCTCCTGGTGAATTCCCTATTTGTTCAACAAATTCACAAGATAAAAATCTGCGAAATGGTTTATATCCACTACCGATGACGTAATTCAATAGAAACAGAAGCTTAAAACAAAGAAGCAGATTCTAAACAATACCCCGAAATACAATGAAACCTAACCAGAATACAATAGATACCGGTACACACAGAAAKACCCGAAGAAGGCCCGAAATGGTGTGTTTTGAGACCGCAGTATGGTTTGTCAGCGGAATTACCATTAATAAAAATGGCGGCCGTTGTGGCCGTTGTGGCCCAATTCATGTGCAGAACCTATCGCACTCATAATACAGATAATACTATACGTAACTACTTACCTACKGTACAAGTTATACTTGTTTCACTACTCGCTGTCACATTGCACGCCACACCACCTATAGTGACGCTAACTAGCGACYTGGTTGTGGAAAAACCTGTCCCCGTGAGTGTTAAGGATGAACCAACACTCACGTTCGTGGGCGACAGAGACGTTAATGTTGGAGTCAGGTCTTGGGAATAGGTAAAGGAGCACTTCTGATTCGTACACGAACTTGGAATATTATTAACAGTCACTTCGACCTGAAAGTAAGTTAAAGTCCATGACAATAGGCAATGTGCAGTTACGCAATTTTATGCAGCAAAGCATGATGGTAGTTGAAGTACACGTACTTTTTTTACATTTTCTTTTTAGAAACGGTATAAATACTTACATTGTCGCTAAGAAAAAGCAAAAACTAGTTAATAGGACTGTTATAGCGGACATTAAAAACTACGAGGACTACAACTACTATCAYGCTTTGCTGCACAAAATGGCGTTTAGACACAGTGTTCGTAATATGGGGTTGTCCGTAGTATTTGCTCGAAATTTAACTGCGATTTTGCGGCGAWATTACGTCGCCTTGAAATCGTCATACGTGTCGCTTATGAAATCGCAGCAAAAATCGCAGCATTTTGAACAGGACTTCACAATACTTACCTGAGAGTCATTATGGGGCGTTCKCAAGAATTCACCAGGAATTGGCTTCATGAAAAACTCTCCATTGACATCTGTCCGTATCTGTATAGCGGCATTGTAACCACTGAGAGCGCTCGTGATGTTAAACTGTTGATGGTTTCCTCCCTTGCTAGTCCAAGTGATCGTCCAGGTGTAMGATGCGCATGTGCCRGACCGGACGATGTGAAGATCACCTACGTCTAATCGATCCTCGAGTAGTCTCTTTAGTTTGTCTGCTGTCACATTGGCTGGGATATCTAATAAATGATCAATGAACTAGTCAACTAGTGAAGTGATACTTTTATCAATACCAAGGTGCACTTCGCGTTAACAAACACGACGTCATGATAAGGCAAACCCATTCATACTTTTACTTTGTACTTTTATCAATACCAAGATGCACTTCGCGTAAACAAACATGACGTCGTGATAAGGCAAACCCATTCATTACTGCATTACTGAATGAATTGATGGAAGGATGAAATGTAAATGAAAGAGTAAATAAAATGATATTAGAAGTCATTTAATACCTTTCACAGTTATGCCGCCATACGTGACATTGAAAGTCCCCGTGATGGGTGGAGTAGAATCTTGTGTACGGACTATAGTCACTCTCGAGTTCAAGCCATCAAACTCATATGTAGCATTATCAGCACTAGAATTAACTCTAGTGGTCGTGCCATCAATTGATATTAATGGGATTCCTGTGCCACACTTCACCGGGGTCATGCAGATACTGTACCGTCCAGCGGATTCCTTGGTCACCGAAAATGATTTTATGAGATACCCTTTGGGCATTGCTGGTATTGWTAATGGTTGGACTGCGAATAAAGAGTATAGCACAGAGTTTGGATTTTTACCAGTTCTATATATTGTCAGTAAACATTTAGGGCGTCGAAAATATGAAACCCCGGCATGACGAAATCGAGAAGTAAAATTTAGAATTGAAATCACAAAAGGAGTAACAGAAAATATGGGAGTTAGAGGAAGTAGGAGTATCATCAAGCTTGCTTATATAGACCCTTGTGTGCGATGGGAGAGGGAGGGGTTGGGGCAAATCAAATGTTTCTTCGGGGGATGCTCTCTCATCATGTACAAGGGCTTCATCTTTTGCCTTTTTTCTCTCAAATGCCCTTCTTTTAACTGTTTCTTACCAGTAACCTTTGTTCGTCCTATCCGAAAGTCGTCAATATAATATGCATCGGAGGTTTTAGGGGATCTCATGAAGTGGATATGGATGACCTTGACTTGTGTGTTTTCTTGTCTGTTTTTGACTATCCAATGGTCTTTCGTAAACGTTTCAAACATATCGAAACAAACAAATCTCCATTTGGTGTGAGAAATAGATTCTCTTCCAAACTTCTGATAACGCCAGATATACGATAGTACCCCATTTTTGTTGGTATAAGAGAAACGAACGTTGACGTACTCGTGTATTGGCCCTTTATAGGCGAAACAAACCTGTTGAAAACAAATCGGGGATTTTAAAAAACAACATTGTTTGATTATAGTGATGATGGTAGCGGTGATAATGATACAGTCAACTCTCGCTATTATGGATAGATACCCTTGGGACCGTAATTTAGTGTCCGCAGTAGAGAGAGTCCGTAATAACAGGAGTTACTTTCAGTCATTTCTTTGTGTTCACT